AGTATATTTACTTTTAATAAAAATATCTTAAAATTAGACAATTTAATACCTATAATTTTAATATCATTTGAATTACAATTCAAATAATATTGCCTGGTTTTAAGATATTTTTGTTAAAAGTCAATATTCAAAAAGTGCAACTTGTATGATATCTCTTAATAGCACTCATATAATTTTTAAAAGATAATATTTATAAGAGCCCAAAATAACTGCTACGTTTTTCATACCTGTGACTTGATCATTATTATAAAAAATATAAGAAATGCATAAAAAATGTAATGATTGATTGTAAATTAGTAATTATAAATAAGAATTTTTTTTAAATTTAATAAATTTAATTTTTCTTTTATGTCAAGTAAAATATTGCAAATTGATATAATATTTACTAGTATTACTCTAACTTTCTTGAATCTTTATTAAATTTTAAAGCTGCTTTTAGTAATTTTTTTATCAAATTAAAGCTTTTTTTGACTCTTTTCAGTTTTGGCTTAATAAATTCTATAGATTGTTCTCTAATAATTTTTTGGCCAATTCTATTTTGACCTGGGTCAAAGTGACCATCACATGACTATATACCTAAGAATTTTCAAAACTTTGAGCAAAAATATCTATAACCATCTAATCAAATTTGATAAAACTTTTTTTTATTTACCGTATGACCGGAATAACACGCAGGGTGTAATTTCAATTTTTGGCCTAAATTAAGCTTAATTCGGGCCAAAATTCAAAACAACGCCCCTGTGCGTTATTTCGCGGTTATACAGTAAATCCTATTTATTCATCAATTCGAATAAAAAAATTTTCATCAAATTTAGTTAGGTATAATTGAGATTTCTTCGCTCAAAATTAAAAAAAAATCAAAATGCCTAACAAAATAGAAGCAGCGCCAAATTTTGAAGATATCACACCCATCAAATCAAATCTGATAAAACCTTTTTTATTTGAATTTTCTAAATTCATAGAATTTGAATAAAAAAATTTTCATCGAATTTAGCCAAGTGGTTGTCAAGTTATCTTTGTTAAATTAGAGAAAATTTGGCATAGCTTCTATTTTAAAGATATCTCGAAACCCACCTGACTAAATTCGATGAAAAATTTTTTATTCAAATTCAATGTACCCATAATTCAAATACAAAAGTTTTAACGAATTGGTTTGATGGTTGTCAAAATATCTTCGTTCAAAGTTTTAAAATAATTTGGTATTTTGATAGGCATTTGGATTTTTTTTCCAAATTTGAGCAAAGATATCTCGACAACCGCCTAACTAAATTCGATAAAAAATTTTTTATTCGAATTCTATAAATCCATAAAATTCAAATAAAAAAAAGAGGCATGAATTTGGGTTGATGATTGTCAAGTTATCTTCGATCAAAGCTTTAAAAAGAATTTGGTGCAGCTTCTATTATGATAAGCGGTTTGATTTTTTTCTAACTTTAAGCGAAGTTATTTTGGCAAACTCCTGACTAAATTCGATGAAATTTTTTTTATTCGAATTCTATGAATCCATAGAATTCAAACAAAAAAGTTTATCGAATTTGTTTTGATGGTAGTCGAGATATCTTCGATAAAATTTAAAGAAAAATTTGGTGCAACTTCTATTTTATAGCCGTTTTGATTTTTCTTTAACTTTGAGCAAAGATGTCTCGATAATTATCTGACTAAATTTGGTGAAAATTTTTTATTCGAATTCTAAGAATCCATAGAATTCAAATAAAAAAAAGATTTATTATATTTGGTTTGATGGTTGTTGAGATACCGTCACTCTAAGGTTTGAAAATTCTTGGGCATATGGTCACATGATGGGTCACTTTCTTTTATAATTTTTCTTTCAATTCAATAATAATAAATTCAAATAAAATTGAGCTCAAAGTATAAAAAATATTACGATAAGCATAGCAAACATAACAAATAATCCATTATGTTATTAAATGTAATGCAATAACGATAAATCATTAATAAATTATGGTAGCTGCACGACGTAGTCGCACTTAAACCAGAAATGTAGCATATTAGTTTTCTAATAATTTTATTTATTGGCTGCTTCGCATCCAATAACTATATATTATTTATTTTAAATTATTTGAATATACAAGATATATTATGTCCGTTGCCAAAGATTTGAATGATGGAACAAAAAAATGGATTCGGCATAGGACATAAAGTAAAAGATGAGCTTAAAAATGCCATTAATCGTTCTTTAATCACGATGTTTCTACGAACTAGCAATAGTTTTAAATATTTATACCCTAATGAAATTATTTGCGATCAAAACATAATGTTTAAGAACACTACAAGTACCTTAGATTTCTTTCTTCAGTACAATAGCAAGGCTGGCTTTAGACATAAGGCATAATATAGATTAATTGTAAACTTTAAAGAAAGTACTATCTTGACTTTGTTGAATATATCGGCTCGATTTGGGAGCGATAAGAGATATTGCTTCGAATGCTAAATTATTAAAGTATTAGTAGTAAATATAATATTCATAAATATCTATGAACAATATTATTATCATGTAAGAATAAAAGTCAGAGTTCTATTTCCTTAGCAATATGTCGTTTATATATCCAGCGTAATTTCACAAAGTTTGCTTTTAATATTATCGCAAAGTTCTATCATAATATACATTGTTATCTATTTAATAAATATTTTTTTCTAATATTATTTGACACTCTCAAAAATAAATATTTCGTAATAGTTCAAGCAAATCATATAAGAATTATTACCTCATAAATAAATCTTATGTTTTTTTTTAAGGCTACTGTTAATTCGCCATCTTTCCACTCGTATTAAAAATATTTTCAAATCTCTAATACCAATCACAATAAGGACTGTAAATTCATTAGATTGAAATAATTAATATGCTCATCAGAAATAGCGTTTTCTAGTATACTTGCCATAACATCTATGTTACTAATCTTTGGCCGAAAAATACGCACGTACTGTACGTACGTATTGGTATATACATGTAGGTTATACATACAGGTAAAAACGTTTCAGAAACAGTACCTATATAAATATTACGTATAGAGTCTAACCTGACTTGAATGATCTGATTTGAGTATAGCAAAGATCAACTTCTTTTTTTTTTACAATGGCCAACAGATTTCACACAATTGAACATTGGAAGTGACCTATTGATTGAATCAATACATATGAAAATTGGTGAGCGATGAGTAAATATATTGATCATTATACTTATGGTTAAATCAAACGTCAATAGCGGGCAATATTTTGATTAATGAGTAATCATTATACTTATCTATTAGATTAGTTTAGATATGAAAAGAAGTAGCTATAAACAATATCAGTACGAATAAGAAATTAATGAATGATAAATAAACCATTGCAAATACTTTGATCAATCAATGATCGCTATACTCACCTTGAATGAGAAATTGATTACAAAGTGTCCCATCGACTAATTCAGCATAGAAAGAAATTAATAGGTGGTAAATAGAATATTTCAATATAGTATGTTTGTTATATTTACCAGTCCAATCAAATGATCTATTGTGAATTGGCACAGTAATTAAAGTATTGTCGCGGCTGAAGCTGGAAATGGCTGAAGCTGGAAATTAGGGACCTTGATTTAAAAATAAAAACCCTACCAAAATCCACTTATACTCTTTTATTATTAAAACTACTACTAAACCCTAACCTAACCCTAAAAAAAACCCCCTAACAAAAGGCCCAAAAAATTTTTGTAAATTTCATATTAAATAATTAAAATTTCCAGCATCAGCCATTTCCAGCTTTAGCCACGACAATTATTATATCATAATTTTCAGAAGTCGCACGTACAGTGAAAGTTCAAATTTGTACTTATACATGTTTTCCCCTGGCAGCACTTCTATTCAATGGATTAATTGAATAAGGGGATAAATAAGAAATTAATAAGAATACACATACTGGTTAGTCTAAATAAATGCGCAGTAATATTATAGTAATTATTACATGTGTCACGGGAACAAGTAATTGCGCAAAATAATTTATTCTCAAACTTTTTCGTGCATTCTCAAAATTATGTATAGCCCCTTGATGATCTTTACATATGGATAGCGTTAAATTCTTTTATTGTTAATTAAGGAGAGTCCGTTGATCAGATTTTCGTGATGCGATCATATATTAACGTAATTTCCCCAAAGCGTATAACAAAATCGATTCTGTGAATTATATAAAAAGGTGATGACCTGGTTAGTGAATCCTTTTATCCGCCTTGTGCAAGTAAAACGAAAAAATCAAAACCAATCTAACATACCATTATTTACATCGTTAATATCCTTGATCAAACGAACTCCTATATTCCGCAAAACAATAATAAGGTATGTTGATTTTATTGCTCGGTTAGCTTTTTGAGACATGTCATCACGATGTTAATCGATTTTCCTGCCTCTATAGATGTTCCAAAATAAAACGAATATATTACTCCTCTTGCTATGTATCGGCATTCTGATCTTCGCCGAGAAAATCTTTGACAATCACGCGTACAATAGACGCAGTGAAACTATTCACATGAATCCCATCACATGCCTTAACATCACGCTTCTCAACAAAATTTGGCGCAGTGTGTCTAATAAATTTTCAATAATATAAACACCTTTACGTGCCGAATTCTTGATATTTGGCACAGTATCGTACCGGCAATAAAAAAATCGAAATTTCAGGCGGAATCCAATGTTGCGAAAATTAATAGTAATGGTAAGTGTGAATCGGGAATGTTTTTTTACCTCAGTTGCTAATCTCCCGAATTTATCCATAGATTCGAAATTACTTAATCTCCGAGAAGTTTCATTTACGGGGAATATTATTTTACATAATCTGCGTGTTTGGGAGAGATATAGATAGACAAAAATTCTGTGATAATTTATTTCAGAAATCTAGTGTAGAAAGAGAGTATTGTTATGAGAATCTCGTAATTAGCAATTGATATAGAAATAAATTAGTCGTAGAAATTTATCGGAAAAGTGTGAGAGCAAGGATAAAACGTATTTACTAAATTACCACCGCTCCGCCGTCAAGTTGGCAGGCGCGGGACACGGTGGCCTACCTTTACGTGCAGAACGTTCACCGTCAGGTTGGCAGGCATGAGGTCGTTCTGCACGTACCTCTACCACATCACCGTCAAGTTGGCAGGCATGAATATGGTAGGCGACTGCAAAGAGGAGGTCACCGTCAAGTTGGCAGGCATGATAATCTCCCCTTGCACTTCCAGACACAACTTGCCGTCAGGTTGGCAGGCGCAAGTTGCGTGGGCAAAATACAAGTTCGTAATAGATGATCATCTGATTATCATGTTGGCCATAAAAATCAAAAGTTCGTACAACATTATTATGTCAAGCAAATTTCGGGCTTAAGATCATTTCCGGCCTAAAAATTTTGGGTCGTAGTATATCAAAAATTTCCTA